CAGGGAGATCGTTCCAAAGGGTCGGAGCTGCTACTGAAAAGGCTCTCCTCCGCGTAGTTGCCAGTCGGCACTGACTGGCGGATGGAACTCGGAGGAGGCCTAATCTGTGAGATCTAATAGGTCGCAGGGAGGTAATTGGCAGGAGGCGGTCTCTCAAGTACCCAGATCCACTACCATGGAGGGCTTTATAGGTGGTAACACAGCCCGGAATGCGGCCCTCCCGAGCTCCATTTTCACTGGCAGAGGCACCGCGGGCCGGTCCTTCGCTGTTTCCAGGGTGTAAAGCACTCTGCGGGCCGGATCTGACCCGTGGGCCTTGAGTTTTATGCCCCTACTTTAGAAAGTTCCCTTGTGTTGCAGTCAGTGGTGGATTCTGAGCAGTACGGCCCGGTACGGTCATACCGGTGGCCACTAGGGGCAGTGGCCACCATACCGGAACGGTAGTTCATTGGTCCCACCCGCCCGCGTTCCTTACCTCTTTTTGAGGGAAACGGGCCAATTGCTCACATGCGTATAGCATACAACGCCTGCACAACTGCTGAGCAGCTGGAGTATCATAAGGCAATGGGATGCGCATTTGTGCGCAGTGCGCATGCCCGAGATGGATGCCCAGCCCCGTCGCAGCATACCAGTTGTGACGGGATCCGGAACCCACCACTGGTTGCAGTGGAAACTTTCATTAAATCCAATGGAAAGACGGAAGCATTATTGTATGCCACCCTGACTGGGGGAAATAAGTAGCCATGTTAATCTGATTAATAAGAATTCAGGAAGCAGCTGAGAAGGGAAGACTTAATCTTGCCCTTCCCATGGATTGAAGCTTCAGTTATTTTTATTTTTTATTTTCATTAATTTATCACATCTAGAAACTGCCCATCTCTTTCACAGAGGGACTCTGACGTGGTAGAAATTAAATGTTAAAAACGTAAAAACTGAACACAAAACTTAAAAAAAGAGACACTGTTTCTCATACCTCAGCAACATTAAAATATATGGACTTCAACTCCCAGAATACCCCAGCTGGAACTAAATTGGTGTATAACCAATAAACCTGGGTATTCACATTGCATTATTGTCAAAAATAAGCACAGTATCAGCTTTGAGGAATATGCATGTCTTGTTGAGTGCCATCAAATCTTTAATGTTTGGGAGCTAACAGTAAACGAAGCCAAGGGATCAAGAACTAAATTAAAAAGGAAGGAAATCCCTATCATGATTGACTGCCATGATATTATTTAATGAGACAAATTGTCTGAGTGATAAATCTAGAATAAAGACATCAAATTGCAATCCAATGAACAAGACATCAGGGGAAGCCACATCTTTAAAAACAGTCCACAAAT